TGCCACTGTTTTTTCTTTGTTTTTTCTGTTTTCACAGTCGCTCCTGAAAGGGTCTGTGACATCAGAACAGGACAGGGTGTGTTAGTCTCTAACTGTAAACACAAAAAGGAGACCTGTGGTGCCTTAGCAGCTAACAAATGTATTAATTTAGTAATTATTAGTAACTATTTATTAACTAATAAATGTGTTAGCCTCTAATGTTTACGCAGCAACATTATTTCAAAATAACATAGTCCGCATCTACACAGCTGGCAGTTATTTCGACATGTCGAAATACTGTCAAGCTGGAGGACTTCTTGCTTCTATTCCTGTAACCCTCATTGCATGAGAATAAGGGAAGTCAGAGGAAGAGTGCTCTATTTCAAAATAAGTGCTGGGTAGACAAGCACCAAAACTCAAAATAAACTATTTTTAAATGAGTTACACAATTGACATAGCTCAATTTGTGCAGCTTATTGTGCAATTGCACCCTAAGGTGCCACAGAACTCCTCATTGCTTTTGCTTTGCTTTGGATTTTGTCACCAACTGCAGGGACAGGAAGCGAATGAAAAAGAGAACATGGGGAAGGGGAAATTCTTTACATAAGCTCTTAAAATTACATACTCATACCCTTCCTTAAGGATGTGGTGGTAAGAGACAACAGGCCTCTCTCTAGCATGCCAATGCATCTGATGGGCCAAATTTGAAATTTAAATCTTGCTACTGGGTTACACCTTTCCTAAATCAAGTCTCATAATGACAGACTCTGGTTTGTTTTAATTATAAACTTGAAACTATTTAATCACAGCTGATATAGTTGTTTTGAATAGAGGGAAGGAACCTTCCATGGTATATAAAGGTCTTCAAAACAAAACAACCATTTTCTAGGAGCAGAGAAACTGAAAACAGGTGAGTGTATTACCAAGCTTATTCAGAGCGGGACCTAATCTCTATTCTACTCATTAGTAAAATCCTTAAAAAACAAAAACTGGTCTGGTAGCACTTGTATTGACTAACACAACATATAGATGGTTTCATGAGCTTTCGTGGGCACAGCCCACTTCTTCAGATGACTGAGGTTTTGAGTTTAGGATGTGCAGACCTAAAATAAATAGGGGAGAAAGAAGAGGGAAAGGAAAAAAAGGAGGGGGAGTGGGAAACAAGGAGCAGACAGTATGGAAATATCAAAGGGAAAAACAGGAAGGCAGAACTGGCAATCAGTAAGCTCCTGAAGATTGGATATTTAAAATGAAGCAGATAAGGATCAAAGGCAATAAATAGGGAGGGTACTGATGCAAGAATCTACACACAAAGAGCTGTTTGCACCTTCAATAAATCCCTCATCCCGATTGAGGCCATTATCATGAGAATTGAACTTGCGGATGAACTGGAATTCCAACACCTCTCTGTGTATTTGATTGGCATAATCTGTTTGCCACAAGACAGTCACCTGGAGATCTTTTAAAAAGTGATTAGGTAGATTGAAATGCTGTCCAACAGGTTTCTGTATGTTCCCTTTACATGTATCTGATTTGTGTCCATTGATTTTTTCTCGTAGGGACTGTCCAGTTTGTCCAATATATATAGCTGTGGGGTATTGCTGGCATTTGATGGCATAGATCAGATTACTGGATGTGCAGTTGAATGATCCCTTGATTTGGTAGCTTATGTTGTTGGCTCCAGTGATTAATTCACTTGTATAGATATGTAGGCAGAGTTGGCATCACGGTTGATTGCAGGGCTGGGTTCCTGGATGCTTATGATGTGGTTGTGTAGCATGGTTACTGGAAAGAATTCGTTTCAGGTTGGGGGGGGTTGTCTGTAAGCGAAAATAGGCTTTTCCCCAAAGACCTCTGAGAGTGAGGGATCATTTTCCAAAATGGGTTGCAGATTGTGTATAATGTGTTGGAGGGGTTTGAGTTGTGGACTATGCATAATGGCTACGTCTACATTTGCCTCTATTACGAAACAGGCATGCTAATGTAGCACTTGGGAAGAGGCAAATCCGTGGGGGATTTAAATATCCCCCGCGGCATTTGCATTTTCATGGCCGCCGCTTTTTTCCGGCTTGGAGATAAGCGGGAGAAAAGCGTCCAGACTGGCACGATCCTCTGGAATAAAGCCCTATTCCTACTTGCAAGTAGGAATAAGAGATCCTCCGGAATAGGGCTTTATTCCGGAGGATCGCG